GGGGGGTGGGGGATAAACGTAAGATGGCCCTCCAATAATTGAATTCTAGACTGAGAAAATTATAACAAATGTTTACATTTTCCATTAATCTAATTATTGGGTAGTCATTTAAAATTCATAATTATCTTGGGTTTGGGTAAATATGGTAAATTATACAATTTATATGGTAAGCAAGGTTCTTTGGGTACGTGTGATATCTTTTATTAGACCAACTGAGTAGTTGGAAAAAAGTCCTTGAAAGCTTTTGGGCTCAGTCACCCTTCTTCAGGCATAGGGAGTCTCTCCTGTACACTGTCACTGACACCCTGCTACACTTTTAGTTTCTCTTGTTTCTTGGAGTCTCAGTACAGCAGACTCCCTCTACCTGATGAAGAGTGACTGCACCCGAAAGCTTGCTAAGAACTTTTTTCCAACTACTCAGTTGGTCTAATAAAAGATATCACATCTACTCAAAAAACCTTGCCTGCCTATGTCCTTAGACCAACCCGGCTACAACCAAAAACTCAACAACTTATATGTTGTCACCCTTATAAGGTAGCTATTAAAAAAAAAAAATTATTTGATCAGCATTTAATCAGCCACCATCTCAAAGATCAACTTGTAATTCAACATTGTATCAGGACTGGTGGCTACAGTATTTTATCAAAAACTAGAGACAAGGTATTAAGAATTTAATTTTTAACTGATCATAAATAGATAACAGATGTACTTTGCCAAGGTAGGAAGTTCAGCTAACAGTAAGCCTCAACCTTCTCTCATTCAACATTATCAGCAGTTTTCTATCCATTGCCATGGGAACCAGGATTAAGATGTGTATTGGAGACTTTTAATTTCAGTGGTTCAAATCTATTTTATATGCCTAATGACTGAAAGCCATTAATTTCTGACAGCTGCTTAGTGGTTGATATAAACTGTGTTTGGTGGTCCTACTTACTTGGTAATATCACAAAATCTACTATCACAGTTGGCACCTGCATTGATTGTCTCAACACAGAAATGAAGGATTGGATGGATAAAAGATTTTAAATAATTGGCATTTAACTAGAGTGAGTCCTTCTAAATTAAAGTTTGAAGCATATTGGCAGGGAAGTCTGGTGAGTTTTGTATTGCTACTATCCATTGCTTTGGTTGTTCTTTGGAGAAAGAGAGCTATTAAGCTAGCACCTTTTATGGGTACTGATTACTTTTTAATGGAAAAGTAATTAATTTAAAAATAATTTCTGTAAATGGAGAGGCTACAGCGGTGGACTCTTATATGACCAGTCAAAAGTATCTATAATGTAATAATATGGAATCCCTTTGAGAATCACATTTTATCATATCTTATAGGAGGAGATAAACTTCGTACATGTGTTCTTCGCCCACCAGGCATCTATGGGCCCCAAGAGCAAAGACATCTGCCACGAATAGCAGTATGCATTTTACTTTATTTGATTAATAAAATATTCCATTCTGTACATAATAGAATTAGTAATAATTTGTGTTATAGAGGTAACTGCTCTTAACTTTTCAAAGGCTTATAATGTAGAACATGGCTTATTTAAGGGGAAAATTATCTTTAAAAAATGTTCAGTAAATATAAAAAGAGACTTTAAGTCATTCTGTATCACAAGCAAACATTAATCCAACACATGTATGTTGATTTGATATAGTTTAATACTTGTACTGTAATTATACAGATTTGGGTGTATCTATGGTATTTCAAACTTCACTTTGCAACTTATACCCAAAAGTTTTAAAATATTAATGAAACGCGATATAAGGAAAATATCTTATTTCCATCATCAACCTTTAACAGCTTTCATTATCCAATGAAACAGGCTAAGGAGCCTGAAACACTTTCTAGTACAATAGGTTACTAAAGGGTAAGCAGTCCAGGTGCTCATGTTTTCTATTTTTTACTAACTCTGTTTTAAATTGTTGGCTTAGTACAATGTTTAGAAGACAGTGTGCACATGGTCACCTGAGTCTGCTGTTTTAAGGACATCATGACTATTTAAAGTTACCTAACCCTTTGAATAAGGAATAGATTAGACCTGGTCAAATAAACTCGTTTTTGTTTAAACCAAAACAAAGGTAAAGGATAGGCGTTGTTTTTACGTTGGGTTTTGGGGTTTTTTTTGGATGAAACAAACATTAATTTTAGGTTAGTCCAAATGTTTTGTTTGATATGAGATGAAGTGTTTTTGTTTCATTTGAGGTTATGTAATCCTTTAAAAAACCTGCGTTCTTTTAAAAAATGTAGATCAATTTTTAAGTGACAAATGATATTCTGAAATTAAAAGTAAGAAAGTTTTGTTCTGAAAATCTCAAAATGAAATGTTTCAGAGTTTCCAAAATGAAATAATTAGGTTAAAAAAATCTTCAAACAAAATGTTTTGACATTTTCAAAATCTCTTTTCCCTTTGTTATGCCCTAAACTATTAGCTAAATTCAGGCCAATTTGTGAGTAGTTCATAGCTACATTTTTTCCAGTGGATTTAGTATTGATCAAAAGAAAATTTCATCCAGCTCTAGGATTGATCTGCATTTTTCACAAACACAAGAAAAATTGTGCTAAAATGTAGAATTCAGGCATGATGTCGGACTGACAGCTTTGGGAAAGAATATCAGCTGTCTGTTCCATGGGGCAGGTAAAAAAGGGCAAGGCTGCCTTTTCAAATTGCATTAATCCTGGTATAAAGATGTTACCTTCTGTGTGAAAGAGTAATTTGGTTGTATACAACTGGGTCAAGATAACTAAAGAACTTGGTGTCAGAAGTTACAGGACGCAACTAATCATTCCAATAAAAATGTGAATATAGCCCTGAAATATTTTTTGTATAAAAATGTGGCATAAAAAACATGGAGTACCGTGGCAAATAGTTTTGTTGCATTCATACAAAGTGATCTACGTAAAGTTATGAGTAGCATAACTCTTCCCAAAATCTTGATACTTAACCTTTCAGTGACACCATCCTATCATATATATCTGCTGTATGCCACATATACGAAATGAACGATGGGGTGCTGGGATGTTTATTTAATTGCAACAGTTTCAGACTAAATGTATGTATGTACAGTTAGCTGCATGCACTTACTATGGTTGTTTCATGTTTTTCTTTCTTCTCTTTCTGTTTTCTGCTTCTTGAACTGTGCTCTTCATTGTGCTTTTTTAACTTAAGGTTTGTTTACTCTTGTTTTTTTTAACCTGATTTTGTTGTTGTTGGTTTGGGGGTTTTTTTGCTCTTCTGCTTCTCTGTTTTTTTCAGTTCAGTACTTTTTAAAATATCGACTTCTTTATCTCCATCATTTTTCTATGTTTTTCCTCTTATTCCAAGACTCTTTTCCAATCCTTTTTCATATCAGTATCTTATTTTTCACTCATTTCCCTTCGACAGTCCCCTCTTTTCTCTCCTTCCCCCATTTTCTCTCATATTTCCCCTTTCCCAGCTACAGTATTCATCTTTCCTTTTCCTAGATTTTCTCCCCTCTGGTTCTCACCATCGTTTTCTTTGTCTTCCCTCCTATACTTTCTTCTGCCTCAAAACCCCTCACCTCAGAGCCCCTCATGCTCTCCAAATCTCCCACTCTTCCTTCCTTTACTCCCTAACTCCTTTCTTCCTTCCTACCTCCAGCCACACAAGCTAACCCTTTCTGTTTCAATATTCCCTCATCATTTTTTCCTCTCTAGGAACACTTCTCCTCACTAACGCAAACATCCTCATTAATTTTCATGTCCCTGCTTTCCATATTTCTGTACCCCTTCCCCTCACATCTCCCAGAAACGCTTGACGGCCCTTTCCCCGTTAATTCCACGAACGCTCCATGCATCAAAACTACCTCACGTTCCTTGAGCTCAGTCCAATGTGACTAAGACTGCCTTGCTATTTCTCCCTGTGCCTATAAAGCAAGTGTATTAATATTTACTTTATTATACTTGTATTTATTAATACAAGTGCCTATAAAGCACTTGTATTAATATTTACTCAGCCTTTCTCACCATCATATGGTTCGCAGACAGGCATGGATTTATGGCCACAAAACTCTATCAGGTAAATGAAGTGCTTGTCTAGATTCTTCATGTGGGGATTTAAGGCAGGTGCAAGCAAGCTGTGTGAGGTGGCCCAGGGGAGAGTAAAGCCTGGGCTTCCTGAGTCCCAGTCCAGTACGTTGAATATCAGACCTTTCTTCCGCCCTCTCTCTCCTTTCCAGTTATCCTCCATTTCCTCTCATTTTGCACTCAAGAGTTACCCTTTTTCTCACAAAATCCTCTCTGCCCTTCTTTCCCCCAAACTCCATCAGTCTTCCCCTCATTCTTTCCCAGCTACCCCCTCACCATCTTCCTTTGCTGTCCCCAGCCTGCTCTTATTCCCTCTTTTCCACAACACCACACCCCTTGTCCTCCCAAACCTCCTCGTTCCCTCTCCCTTACTGTTCCTCAGAAGTCCTCATTCCCACAAGCCCTCGGGCTCTCCCCCCTCCACTTTCCCTCAAGCCCTTTCACTTTCTTCATGGTGCCCAAGCTCTGCTTCAGTTTCCTTTCATGGACCCTCAAATGCTTCCTCCCTCAGTGAATCCCAGATCTCCATACTCTCCTCCTTCTGCCCTGCTCTTAAGCGCCCTCGTATTCCCCCGGCCTTTCCTGTATCCATTGCATGCCCCTGTCCCCGCCCCACTGAGGCACTTCTTGACTTTCCCTGCTGCTCCTTCTTTCAGGGCGTGTGATGTACAGTACAGCTTTGTGATAACTACAGCCACACTATTGTGACTGCCGCCAAGGGCAGGAGGGGGGTGTACTGGAAGGGCTGCTGGGCGTATCCCACAAAACACCCAGCTTGGCCACTCGTGTAAGGGAAGTGGCAAGGGGAGTGTGGGAAAGGGGCCCTGAGTGCTTCCGAAACATCGGGTCTGCCACTAGCTATTTTCCATTTTTAATTTAAGCCATTTCAGTTGGACTGTTCTCGGGAACACTTCATAGAACCTGCTCATGAAAGCTAAAAAGCCCACAATTTTACCAAACTCTTTTTGGCTTTTTATTGCGAAAAGTAAACCAAGTGACAGATCTGCTGTTCCTGCTGGACATGCCATAACTGGTACCAAACCACCTGCCACTTGTATGTGAACATGAAGAAAGTGGCAAATGTTCAAAATATTTTGCTGATATTAGACCATTTATATATTCATATGCCAGATCCTATAAAACTGGCTTCGTTCTTTCAGATCATCCACACAAGCCCAAAACCTATAGAAAAAAAGTAGGTGTCTAGTGTCAAATAGGAATATGAAATACATATGTCCTTTCTATATATGAATGTGATACTAGCTCACAGGAAAAGAGGAAAGAAAGTTTTAAATAACGTTGGATTCAGTTTCTTTAGCCTACATAATCCTCAGCAAACTTCTTGGCCAAACTGGAAAAAAAAAATGTTCAATCCAAAATTAAATGTTGTTTGTTCTTACAAGATTTAAAAAAATTAAAATACGACTTGGGTCAAACCAAACATTTAATTCAACCTGAAATTAATTTTTGTCTGTCATTTTTGGACTTTTAAAACTTTTTATTTAATGATAGGTATTTTGAAAAGTTAAATGGTATGTAGGTATTCTGAAAATCCTACCCCTACTGTATTTTGGAAAAAGGGTTTGAATAACCACTTTAACATAATGGGCAGAAAGGTCCAAGTGCTGGATACTGTCAGCTGTCACTTTATTTAGAATATATTGTATTGCATTAAATCCATTTTTTCATCTTAATCATCAGTACTTTGTAATGCATAACAGTAGATCTCTCTAACACTATGTTAGGATTCATGTTTAGAAACAAGATTTCGTTTTAACATGGTAGACCAATTGGAAAAGGTGTGCTGCCTAATATAAAAATCTCTCTTGCAGTAGTCTCTGTTTTTTTTTTTTTGTTTCCACAGCGGAATATTGAAAGGGGGTTTTTTCGCTTCAGGTTTGGGGAGCCCACTGCTCAAATGAACTGGGTTCATGTAGAAAATCTTGTACAAGCTCATATTTTAGCTGCTGAAGCTCTCACCTCTGAAAAGAACTATATAGCTGTAAGTAAAAAAACAAACCCAACAACAAGAACAAGAAAAGCAATGCCCTGTCTAGTCTGATACAGGTTTAAAATTAAAATAGCTATAGTAGGAATATGGTGCTACCTCTTAATGTTTGTAAAGCGGTCCTTTGGCAAATGCTCTTCGCCTTGCTATGTTGCCATGCCAGGCTGGCACCAGATAAATATTTTTAATTAAATTATTCACCCCACAGTCTCTCCCAAAGAGAGGGTATTTATTATCTCTGTATCAGGAGTAAAGGGGCAGTATGCAGCTTGGGGCACATATATACATTTCTCATTGCTTCTATAAACAAAGCCAGATTTAGGACTGAGGGTGGAAAAAGTATATATCAAGTTTTTAATCCATTGGCAATAACAGCTGTGATATTAGTGTTGCTATCTGTACAGATCAACTTGCAGAGTCAGGGCCTGTGTATTTAATACAGAAAATTGTTAGACACCTTTAACTGTAGGTGTACTGCCTGTTTCTTGTACAGTATTGGTACATGCAAACTACCAGCTCAGCAAATTCATTACAGGTGCATCTATTTAAAATGTTCTTGTAGATCTTTTCCTATTTGTAAATACATGTCTTTCATAACCTAAAAAAATTAAACTAAGAAAAGTACATTGGAAAGATTACCAAAGAACATTAGTGGGAGTTTTTTCCAAAAGTTGCCAAGAGGAAACACACAGTTTGCCAAAATCTGTCCACAGCCACACAGACTTCATTGGGGTTTAATTAGTGTAAAGAAGAGCAGAATACACTATGCTATTTGTTGTGTAATCTTTATCAGAGGTAAATTTATATAAGCAAGTTTTAAGGGAAGAATATTAGCCAAATCAGACAAGCAATATTAAGTCAGTCACTTTAATTACATACAACATAGCAGTTGATTGAAACATAAATGTAGCTAACATTAATGTCTGTATTCTTACATGTACTTGTTTTTGATGTTACTGTATTATTTTCACAGTCATTAAAGATTTTTAAAAAGGGAATGAGCATATAAAAGTCAGTCCATGCTATCATGTTACTAAGATGTCTTTTCTCTGCTTCTTTAACAGAGTGGTCAGGCATATTACATAAACGATGGCGAGAATGTCAACCTTTTTGAATGGATAACTCCACTAGTATGTAAAATACATACGTTTATCTCAAATACAACTTATCTAGAAAAAACTGTATGCTCACATTTTGAAAATTATGAATTCAATTATACATGCACAAGCCAGAAAATTGTGTCTGTATATTTATTTGCATATATACAATTCCAACCTTGGTGCACATATTTAAATTTTTACATGCTGATTTTGGGAGCAGGAGACCCTTTCCAAATTTGGGACTTAATAACTCATTGAAGCCAGGACAGTGGAATTAATACAATAAGTAGAAACTACCATGTTATATTTATCTTATCTAATTAGTAATCGACCCTACATTCTTAGGCAGACTACTGTTGCCAGTAGAAATTTTGGATGTATAAAGAACATAGGTTCAGCCTGTCATTCTGCAATATCAATAATTTTTCAATTAAACATCTCACTTTTAATGATTCGGTCCAAAACAGAACTATAGCACTGTAAATGGGATATCAGTGCACTAGGATTGTGGGATTAAGCCCCAAATATTAAGACTTCTTTTCTATTCATAGTGAGTGCATCTACAAGTGACACTGCGTCGCTGCAGCAATGCGCTATGCCAATGTAGAGTCCGCGGGCAAGAATCATGATGCCACAGCTAAATCGCCATAGGAATATGCTCCCTCATTATAGTGCGTTGCTACACTGATGTAGCAGCTAAAAATAACTGCATACACAGAGCAGTATGGGCTCTTACTGCACCATCATTTAGTACCAAAGTTCCAAAAGGAAGTACTAAATGAAGGCACAGTAACAAAGGCGCTGT